CTTAAGAGATTCTCTTGCCTCAGCCTCCCAAGTAGCTGGGACTACAGGCACCCGCCATAACACCTGGCTATTTTTTTTTGTTGCAGTTGTCATTGTTGCTTAGCTGGCCCGGGATGGGTTCAAACCCTGCCAGCCTGGGTGTATATGGCCAGCACCTTACCCACTGAGTCTTTTTAATTAAAGTTTCATAGGCAGTTGGTGTCCCCTCTTCTTTCTGACTTACCAACTGCTGTACATAGTCACATTATAAAAGCGACAACACAGCTTAACAGCATTCTATTTTAACACAGTGGATGCAGTTCTCCCATGAAGGAATGAATCAAAACAAAACTACCCGACTTGGTACACAAAGAAGTCTGGAAAGCAGTTAGGAGTTTAGTTAAGCGAGAATAGTTAAGTCTAAAGCAATTGTGGTTTCCATCTAAAAATTACCTGTGGCTGCTGTTTAGATCGAAATTTCAGTGACTCTACTCTGTCTCTTCTTTCAGATGCAACTGCCAGGTTGGGAAACTCCTCAGCATCCTAAGTAAACCACACACCTTTTAGCTCTATTAATCATGAGGACACAAATATGCCAAGCACAATCTTTTCACTGCTTATATTTTCTGTCTTTAATAAGGTCTCACAAAGATTCTCAAGGTGATATTAAACAGCTGCATAACTGTCACATAAGAGCTTCTGCTTTATTTAGCTTAAATTTAAAGACCACCATTGTATTATATCCACACCTAAAAGGGAGAGTGAGTGCCACCAAGGTGCAATTGAGGGGTCTACAGAACTGACCTTGGACCACCTTGGCATGAGAGTATTCATGCACCTATTTGTCAAAAGACTATACTTTTCATTAGAGAACCATCAGATCTAGATGCAGATTTATGTCACGTAATTTGTGCAGAACTCATCCTAGTAAATAGACAAAGGCAATAGACCTGCTATAAAAATTTTTAAAAATCATTTCAAAACATCATTTTTGCCAATATTTTAGGTGCTCTGAAAAAAAGAATTATGAGGGAAACATGGGGCAGAAATATGAATTATCCATTGGCCTAAACCATAATGCTTCTGCCATGTTCGCAATTCTTCCAAAATGTAACCTAGCTATTCTCAAATGGATGTTCTGAGAGCCTTGGGAACTGCATCCCCAACCCAGGTGTGTGGGAATGCCCTGGACAGCACCTGTGAGAGCCTTCTGCCTGCACAAGCAGCCAGGCCACCTGAGTCTGGCATGGTAACGTGAAGAACACAACCAGCCCCACTAGAAACACAGGGCCAGGCTGGCTGCTCAGAGTACACAACATTCATAGAGTACCACGGGACAATAACTAAAGGGCACTCACTTCTGGAAGGTCATGAAATTCTGACTGAGGCCCACAATGGACCTACAGTATTCTACATTTGTCTCTATAGTGAAGTACTTTACAGTAAGATTTCTGGATAGAAAAGGAGGCCCTGCAAAAGCCAGCATTCTAAAACAAAGAAAAAAATAGGTAAGTGAGGAGAAATATTAGTAATATGGCACTCAAAGTATTAAACTCCCATGCATGCAGTTTTGTCCCTAGACCATTCATCCATTCCAATGTTTACTGAGTGTCTGCTCTGAGACAGCTAAGAAGCCAAGTGAGAAGTGAGCAGGCTGGGTGACTACTATTTTCTCCAACAATAAGAAAATGGTCTCTAAAACAATGTTGGAGATGTTCACTGAGGAACCCATGTTTCTATTAAAAAAGACCCATTTATCACACAATGTGAGTAATAAATATGAATGTACTTCAATCCTTGGTGGCTCTTGAACTGTCAGGATTTCGTATTTTGGTTTAGACTTTTCTTTCTTTCTCTTATTCTTTCTTGGGGCTTCTTTTTGTTCAAGGTCGCCACTTTGTGATGCTTTACACTAGAACAAAAATCAGAGCAAAAGTCAGCAGTTTTTAGGGTAGCCAACAGAATGTTTAATACCATGTCTCAGCAAAATCAAGATAAATATTCACATGGCAATTTTATTCAGAGTTAGGCTCCTCACTTCCCATTTTCTAAGGAGCCAGCACTCAGCAACATGATTCTGAAGGGAAAAAAATCTGTTAAAATATTAGTAAGAAGTCTAATCCCTTTGGAAAACTGGTGCGCCTGGACAGAATCTAGTTTTCAGCTTGAGGCAGCCACGTTCTCTAATGCTCCTACTGATACCAACTTGTAAGTCCGGGTGGGGCACCTGTCAGCATTGCCAAATGGTTCCCAGTCTGTACATCAAATCCATCTGCATAGCAGAATCATCCATGGAGCCTTCTAATCAAATGCCTGAGTGCATCCCAGACCTGCTAAATGTGACCTCATCACTCTCACAGGCCCGTCAGCCACTGGCTCTTTTGCAGGTCAAATGTGCTTTGGTCCCCAGGCTAGAACTGCTACTTCATTTCTGTCTAGCTCTAGCCCTCTATTCTCTGGCTTTGCTTAGTTTTTCTCTTTACGTTACTAATCACTATCTAATATGTTCTTTTTTTTTTTTTGAGACAGAGCCTCAAGCTATCACCCTGGGTAGAGTGCCATGGCATCACAGCTCACAGCAACCTCCAACTCCTGGGCTTAAGCAAGTCTCCTGCCTCAGCCTCCCAAGTAGCTAGGACTACAGGTGCCCGCCACAATGCCTGGCTATTTTTTGGTTGCAGCTGTCATTGTTGTTTGCAGGCCCAGGCTGGATTCAAACCCGCCACCTTGGGTATATGTGGCTGGTGCCTTAGCCACTTGAGCCACAGGTGCCAAGCCTATCTAATATGTTCTGTATCTGTCTGCATACTGTTAGTCTCTCTCCATTACAGCAAGGCTTTTAAAGGGCAAGGAACTTCTTATGCTTTGGGCCTTGCTTTATTCTCAGTGGGAATGTACCAACATAATCAAAATGTCCACATTTTGTTAAATGAAAAAGGCAAGCTTTAAAAGTAATGTGTAAAAGAGAAAAATAAATAAAAATAAATAAAAGTAATGTGCATAGAATACTTGTGTTTAGAAGCATACACAAGAAGAATGTGTATAGAATATTTTGTTTTTTAAAGAACAACAGAAACTCCTCTGTATTCATATTTATAATTTCATGAGCCTGAGGTAGGACATATGAGAGACTGTTAATGCAGGCTTCCCTGAGGGGTTAGAGACCTTTTCCATAACTAGCTATTTGTGACTTTCTTCTTATCTTCATTTTAGAATTTTTCTAAAATAAATTTTTCATACACCTATACTTAAGAAAATAGTTTTTAAAAGATTCTGGGAAAATAAAACTCTGTTAACTCTTAGAATATTAAATTGGCTCAGTACATGACATGGCAGTCAGACACTAAGCTGGTGTCCAGTCTGTTCATAGCCGCGTAGAGGCATACCACAGCCAGCCAGAAGGGCTGCACAGAAAGCCAATTTGGTATGTGCACAAAAGGGAAGGTCTTTCACCTATGTGTACTGCACTCTCTCTCCCATACATGCTGTGAGGAATAAGCACATGTCTGCCTTGTAATAGTCACTAACAGGGCAGCCCCTGTGACTCAAAGGAGTAGGGCACCAGCCCCATATGCCAGAGGTGGCAGGTTCAAACCCGGCCCTAGCAAAAAAAAAAAAAAAAACTGTAATTGCAACTAACAGATTGTAAATGCACAGCTACCACTTATATGGAATGGGCTAACGACATTTTTGGATATCAAAAAGTATCCTCACACTCAAAAAGACAGGAAACCATTGCACTAAATATGACCACATTTCAATCTGAAATAATATATCCTTACACTATGAAAATCAAGGCCAATACTTACGACTAAAACAAACAAACAAAAAAACCCCAAAAGACAAAACCTCCTAAAGAAATAAATCTGGGGATTAATAAATATACAACTTACAATTATTTAAGGGAAAAATGTATTCTGAAACGCTACCTTATAGTAAGTAAATTGCAATTAACCAAAAATCATTAATGTACACCAGATGATCACAAAATGTGGGATTCAATTATTTTACTACCAGAACTCTAGTACTAGTAAAAGCCATTTAAATTCAACACACAAAAGACTGGGGAAAGAAGCAAAAGCAATTTTATACATCAGAATATAAACTTATGCCAGCACATCTTCTTTAAAGAGTTCTAAATGGTTCTCACAGACATTTTAAGTCAATAGGTCAAAAATATATATTCTCTCTCATACCTAAAAGCTAGCGCTTGTATTCCTTGACTGACAATCTATTCTTTTTTCAAGGTCTAAGTACAACAAACTCAAACTAGTGACTACAGTATAGAACAAAACACTTATGTTTCACAGTTAGGATCTAAGGGGAAAAAAAGATATTTTCAGTGAATAATATTCAGTGCACAGACCAACATAATCAAAATATGATGCACATCTTTCTTTTTCCAATCTTTTTTTATTGTAATACAATACATACAACGTAAAATGTATCACCTTAAATACTTTTAAGTGTGTAGTTGTGCAGTGGTTGCTACCATCTACCTCTAGAACTCTTCCTTTTATAAAACTAAAATTCAAAGTCCACAAATAGGTAAGTTCCCATTTCCTAGTCCCCCCAGTCTCTGGCAACCCCATCTTACCATCTGTGTCTAGTACTAGATACATACCTTTTTGGCAGGATGAACCATGTGTTTCTCTTTGTTGGAGGAAGGATCCGAAGAAAAAACTTCAGAGGATGATAGACTAACATTTTTAGGATCTGCTGATGAAGCAATGGTCTTTAAGTTTATCATGGAAGTAACATTTTTAGGGGCTGGTGACAGTTCTGTAGATAATGTCTGCCGAACAACATAACCCATTGGTGTCCAAGATAACTCTGCTCAAAGATAACCAAAATTGTTGAACAATCTCAACAGTAAAACAGAAATTCCTTAGTTACTCAGACATGCATTACATGAGGTAACTGCAAAGAACATAACTAAACTTAGGTTGTCATTCAAAACATCCTCCTGGAAACCACAGTAGTCACTAAACTTGTTTTTCTTCTTGGAGCATGCATGCTGAATTTTTTTTCCCCTTTAGCTTATAAGGTTAATTTTCCTGTAAACTGGCTTTTTAACTGGGGGGGGGGGTAGACAAACAATAGTTTACGTTAAAAGACAAATCACAATAATGCCCATGAGGCAAACACACAGAATTAATGAGCTAAAGATCAAATGTGGGCCCTACTAACCTTGTTGTATACCTTTAACATCAGAAGTCAAAGATCACTAGACTTCAGCTAGCAAAATAACTGGTAATTTATTTCTTTTAGACCACAGGCTTAAGAACAGCAACACTACTCCTTAGGTGCCCATGAAACTCTATATGCAGACAAAACAAAAGGATATCCATCAGGACGTGGGCAGGTGAACACCTGTCAGCAGCCAATGGCTACCCCCAAGGGTAAGACAGACTCTTCTCATCACTACAGAACTACACATCCACAGAGCAGCCTTTGAAGTACAGATCTTTACTGAACCTCATTGAGTAGACCCTCCACAACTGGCCACCTCCCTACACGTATCACTTCAAGTTGACCTAATTTTCATAGACTGGACACGCACCACAAGTACATATCAGTATAGCAGAACTAGTTCCTTATGTTGACCACCTCTGTATGTTGACCAGTTTGTTACAGTCCTCTGGATGGTCAACTTACAGAGGTTCCACTGTATATATCAATCATGAGAATGTAAAAGAAAACACCCTATGCATAGACGTGGAATAGCTTTGTAAAAAATTCTTCTATTAGGACAGGCCACTATAAAAATTTCAAAAGCAGAAACTATTGAACTTTCTCTGAATATATTACTTCTTGGCCAGGACATGCCAGAGCAGCTGCCGAAAGTGTGGCCTGAGACTCCCAGAACCCTATCAGGGGTCCATGAAGTCAAATCTGTTTTTCCAAGAATATGAATGCATTAGTTGCTTTTATCTCTCTCTCTCTCTCTCTTTTGCACCCTCCCTCCAAAGTACCAGGGAGTTTTCTGAAGGCTGCATGATGAAGACTATGAAGCAGCTAAATATCACACAGATTTATGAAGCCAGATGTTAAAGTGTCGCACAACTATAAAGTAAGATTGCTCTCCTCATTATAGGTTTTAAATTTTGAATAATGGTTTTCATTAAAATATGCTATGTTAAAACATAACACATTTATTATTGTTATTTTGAACAAATTAATATTTTAAAAAAAGCTGTCATAACTTTGAAAAGGACAAATATTGATAGATATCACCCCCCAAAACAGAAGCTCTTTGGAACTTTCAATTCTTTTTTTTTTAATTCTTTTTTTTTTGCGACAGAGTTTCACTTTGTCACTCTCAAACTGCTGCAGCATCATAGCTCACAGCAACCTTAAACTCCTGAGCTCAAGCAATTCTCTTGCCTCAAACTCCCCAGTAACTGGTACTAGAGGCACCCACCACAACGCCCAGCCTGGCTATGTTTTAGAGATGGGGTGTCACTCTTGCTCAGGATGGTCTTGAATTTGTGAGCTCAGGCAATCCAGTGGCCTGGCCTCCCAGAGTGCTAGGATTATAGGCGTGAGTCACACACAATAATCCTGACTGGAGCTTTCAATTCTAAAGGGTATTAAGGGATCCCAAGACCAATAACTTTTGAGAACAGGTAATATTAAAGGAAGAAGTCATTTCTGAGTTCATAAAATTTCTCATTTAACTGGACATATATTTCTTCTTTTTTTTTTTCTTTGAGACAGAGTCTCATTATGTCACCCTTGGTAGAGTGCTGTAGCACCACAGTTCACAGCAACCTCAAACTCTTGGGCTTAAGTGATTCTCTTGCTTCAGCCTCCCAAGTAGCTAGGAGTACAGGCACCCACCACAACACCTGGCTATGTTATTGTAGTTGTCACTGTTGTTTATATGGCCCTGGCCAGGTTTGAATTTGCCAGCCCCGTTGTAGGTGGCCAGTGCCCTAACCACTGAACTGGATATATATTTCATTTAGGATTCTTGTCTCTTATTTTACATTGCCTGTGCAAGTATGTGGGATCTCATTTACTTATTTTAATTTTCTAAACTAACATTAATGTCAGGTTACCAACAACGCATAAGCTGCCCAAACAAAAACCATTTTGATTGCACTGGAGTAAAAAATGAACTTAAGAGTTTGGTCTGAAAGTAGTGGGTTATCTCAACTGTTTAAACATTCATAGTTACCTATATTACTCAACCTTTTCCAAAACATAGAAAAAGACGGAATACTACTCAACACACTCTATGAAGCTAACATCACCCTGATCCCCAAACCAGGAAAAGACCCAACAAGAAAAGAAAATTACAGACCAATATCACTAATGAATATTGATGCAAAAATATTCAACAAAATCCTAACAAACA